AGTTGATAATATTACTCCCTCTATCCTAACTTTTTATTGCAACCACTTTTTACAATTGCCTTTTTTAAATTTTTTAGTTGCAACTGAAAAAGTTTGAATGCTTGAGTATTGAAACGCACGTCAAAAACACAACTAGCTAAAATTCTAGAGTAAGGAAATTATTAATAATAATGTTAATTCAACCTTAATTTACCGAAAAAAACTCTTTAACCCATGAAACATTGGAATGTATAAAAAAAATGATAGTAGGAATTAGAAGATATAAGGTTCTATATAAAATAAAAATAAATAAATAAAAAACAAACAAACAAACAAAAATATTTATAAAAACATATTTAATTTAATATCACACGTAATATTAATAGTGGTAATAAGAATCTTTAATTGATTTCTATTATAATATATAAATTATATACTACCTTTGTTTCTTATTATGTGCAACAAAGGGGTATTATTTGTGAGACATAAAATATTCATTTGTTGCACATAATAAGAAACGGAGAGGTAGTATATAAGTTTAATTTTATTGTCTTAAGCAAGTTGTCAATAAAAAAAATATACTTGTAAAAAGAAATTTAAAATTAGCATTTTTTTTTGGAGGGAAATAAAGACACCATGAAGTGACATGTGTCATTTTTTATTTCTGTTTTAGTATAATGTGTAATTATTTATTGATTAGCCTAATATTAAGATAGCAGGTTAGGTATACACATAAAATCAAAATATAAATGTATCATATATTATACAAAAACTTTTGTATACACCCGCTTTACACTAATTTTACTGTACATCGAGCAGTATAAGGGTAACTTTTACCTAATTTTAGGGTAACTTTTTGCCTTTTTTGGGTAACTTTTAACATAATACAATTTTTATATAAATAAACAATAAGAAAAGTTTTATAATGGTAATTTAATTACATTTAATCACAAATAATTGATTTTTAGTCATTTAAAATGTGATTCTTTACTAATAATTTTTATTGTATTGGATTACTTTTATGCATATTAGGGTAACTTTTATTTATTTTAGGGGTAACTTTTGATCAATCTAGTCTATCTTTATAGTGGATGTACAATAATTATTGTACACCCAATTTTTTTTAAAGTTTGTGTATATTATACTTGCTCCATTTCTACTTTTTGCATTATTATTTGATCCTAATTTGACTAATGTTTCTGATTTATACAAAAGAAAAAAAATATATAGCCTTATGAGTACTAGCTGGAATCATCTCAATGAATAGAGTATTAATTTTCAATTGTTAGAATTTATTTTTATTAATAATTAAAGATATAATTGATCAAAGATTGCATGGACATACATATTCCTGACAAATGAAACAAGTATTTAAAAATGGAAAATATTTAAAAACTGAGAAAGTTATTGATAGAGAATATCCATAGAATATTCTCATCCTAGTTTAGGATATATTTTGTATAAGATTATCTTTGATATCTGTACATATTATCTTATAGTTACCTAATATGATTAGGTTTCTCATTGTAACCCTATAAATATTGATCAATGGAAATCACTCTAATCAAGGAGTTTTATGTAATTGTTTGTGAATCCCGCCGGTGGTGGGAAGAGAAAATTTTAGATATAAACAATCCCAAGATCTAACTTAAGCTCTGATACCATGTCAGATAATATAAAACTCCTTGATTAGAGTGATATTGATCAATATTTATAGGGTTACAATGAGAAACCTAATCATATTAAGTAACTATAAGATATGTACAGATATCAAAGATAATCTTATACAAAATATATCCTAAACCTAAGATGAGAATATTCTATGGATATTCTCTATTAGTTATCCTTCATAATAACGAACACTTTCCAAAATAAAAAATACTCTACAGTCTACTAATATATATTGCTCATCTTATATAATCCCCACTCCTATTTTAGACACACTTTTTATTGGAAAGGCCCGGGCTTTTAGTCAATGTGGGTCGGTTCACGAGTTTATATAACCAGTAATTTTAATTTTTTTACTCTGTAATTATATTATTATTTTCTGACATGGAATTTATGCTCCGTAATTTGTAAAGGTATTGTAAATTTGTAATGTGTGAAAATGGGTTATTATTCTTACTAATGGTTAAAAATACTTCTGAATTTTTTTTTACGAAAGTATGTTCAGGTCACGATTACATAGATTCCTAATGTAATGAACCCTTAGTTAGACAACCTATGAAAAATAGGTTATTAGAGTATGGACAATAATATGTAGCTCTTGAGCAAGAAGCCTAAAGCTCAGTGGAGCTAAGCTTCAGTTCCCGTAGTAGTGACCCGGGTTTGAGGCTCATATCCCACTCCCCTGACCCTTTGGATAATACCCCCTTGATATTTCTGTAATGGGAAATTAAGGTGGGGCCCACCCCTTACCCCCCCCCCCCAAAAAAAAATACCAGTAATAAATAAATACGGAATAATATGTAGCTCTTGGAATTACTACATACTCTATATAACTTTATACTAAAAAAAATACTCCCTCATCCCTTTTAATAAATTCCTATTTCTATCCTTTATTCCTCACAAAATAAAGTGAAGAATGAAGAAAAGTAGAGTTTTCCCAAAAAAAAAAAAAAAAAAAAAAAGGTGAAGTAGAAATCTACTCCGTATAATTTTATGAAAAGTGTGTTTCTGGTGTGGCCAGCCACATGGTGTGGCAAGGTGCCACATTAGTAACTTCTGATGTAACCCCTGTCTAGTAACCCCCGAATTAACCCCTAAAGTAACCCCTCTAGTAACCCTCGAAGTAACCCCTGAAGTAACCCTTGAAGTAATTCCTCTAGTAATCCTCGAAGTAACCCCTGTCTAGTAACCCTCGAAGTAACCCCTGTCTAGTAACCCCCGAAGTAACTCCTAAAGTAACCCCTGAAGTTACCCATCTAGTAACCCTTGAAGTAACCCCTGTCTAATAACTAACCCCTAAAGTAACCCCTGAAGTATCCCATCTAGTAACCCCTAAAGTAACCCCTGCCCGACCTAGTAGCCCCTAACCGGATCTAGTAACACTTGGCCGAATCTAGTAACCCCTGGCCGAATCTAGTAATCCCTGACCTAACCATTAATTCCACTGCTAAAGCGGCCACGAAACCACCAATTCCAACCATCATAACAATCAACCACCACCCATTCCAACCAAAATTACCAGAAGAATACGGAGTAGTCTAATAATACTCACAACTTTCAATACAATATTATGAAATAATTTTCACACACACAAAAAAATGATTAAAAAAATTACTCCTAACACTGTATAAAGTATAGAAATCATATTTCACAAAATATGCTTGCAGTATAATTTCGGCTATAATCATTTGAGGAGCCATCAAAATCATCATCATTTTCAAATAATTAGATGAATCCCCCACCTTTTACATGCCTTGAATCTGCACAGATACCAAAGGATTATATACTAATATTCTTGCGTGCGAAGACGAAGACGACAGAGACGAAGATGACGGCAGAGGTGACAGATCATCAATAGGAAATTGGAATGAAATTGATGAATTGTATCTAAATCTATTGAAATTTAGGGAAAATGTTTGGAAAATTTGTATCTGAATCTATTGAAATTTGGGGAAAATGTTAGGGTTGAAACTTTGAGGAGATCTGGGTTGGTTTGGAACTTCGGGAGCTTCGACGTCGAAGACGACGACGGTGGAAGTGAGTGCTCCAGCCATTGATGGTTAGAGAGAGAAAGTTAGAAAGAGAAAATGAGAGGAGAGGAGAGGAGAGAGAAAACTTTAAAAAATAAAAAAAATTATGGCTGGTCGCACCGTGTAGCTGGCCACATATGAAACTTTGTGTTTTATGAATATTTAACAAAACTCTACGAGTAAGTATTACATAATTATTACTAACAACTTTCTTTGATTATTATGTGTAACTTTGAAATTATTTTATTACACAATTTGTATAACCGAAAATTGCACATGTTACTCCAATTACTCCTATTATTTTTGTTTCCATAAAAAATCATCAATTATTTTCATATTTAACTCCCTATTTATGCAGCCTTTTAGCGGTTATCACTTATCAATTTCCAAAAGAGTAACTTTCACGAAGAACACAAATCCCTAAAAATAGGTTTAGTGATGATGGCAGGGAAGCCGGCGGTGGAAAACGCTGCTAGTCACCCAGGTCATTCTTTTTCATCGTTTTGAATATTTTATCTTTTAATATGTTGAAATTATAGTGTATAACTCTTGGAATGTGTAGTTGTCATATCAATGGTTATATTTTTATTATAATATGTTGAACAAATCAGTTTTGTTCATATGAGATTTACATACGTTATTCGTCTGCGATTCCAAAGCAACCTTCTAACTGAACTTTCTTTCCATCTGATTTTTTAGTGTTATCTCCCGCCATTGATTTTTCTGCGTTATAACCTAATCCTATGCCCCTAATTTCTGTGTTTTCAATCTGCTCTCTCTCTCTGTTTTTTTATTTTATTTTTTTTAAGTGAACCACTTTTTTAAGGCATGTATTTTTTATTTAATTGGCATATATTTTCTTGGCCAATTCTATTTTTTAATTTCTTGGCTCTATTTGAAGTTAGAAGTAATGTCGATATCCTTGAATTTAGTAAGGGTTGTAATCCTTTAGACGGAGTAACATGGAATGTGAAGAATGGTGATATCAATTGATATACTTCGTACTATACATATTGAATCCAAATTATTCTCTAGTATTTCTTCTCTGTAGAATTGAACAGTAGTTCCAATCATAAATATTAATGTCACGACACTATATAAAAAGCTGCTGGATTATTAATATTAGTTGTAGTAATGTTCACAAAAATTAGAAGTTAATTGTTACTCTTGAACTATGAAGAGAGCGAAGCACCCCATCATCCTCTGCAGAACAACTCGAAACTAGGGCCAAAGGGAGCTTATGAAGTAAAGCGAGTGAACAATGGGTTGTACATTAGGGTGGATATGCCTGGAGTACCATCAGCAGATGATGTGAAATTGAACAACAAGTCTCCCAAAGCATGAGAGTTGGCCCCTTGATGACTCTCAGAGAGTTTATGCAGGGTCGATCTCTCTGGATCGTGATCCTGACTCGATTCCTCTTGAAAAGACATTCAAGAATGGCTGTTTACGGCTGTTTTTACCCAGTGCAGATGGACACCTTAGTTTCCTTACTAATCAAGGTTTCGTCGTTTAACTCTCTCTTTATCTATGGTTCTTTTTCATTTTTCACTCTTATAAGTTCTAATTGACCTTATGTATGTGTTTTTTCAATCCAAATTGAAATTCAGAAGAATCTGTGCTTTGTCAGAATCCTGTTGATGAGCAAGTCCATCAACCTGATGTCATTATAGGTATTTACTCTGTACTTGGCTGCAAGACTTGCACGTCGTTGATAATTAGGATTTTAATTCGGTTTCTTTTGTTAATCTCAAAGGTGGATTGGTTAGTATAAAACGTCATAAGCCTCAGTGCCGCTGCTGTAAAGGAGAACGAGCAGACATCGAAGAAAGTGAGTGAATTCCAAGTAGTTATAAACCTCTTTCGTTCCTTGCATTAACCGAGTAGTATTTACCTTGATAAAGATTTACTTCTAAGTTCTAACAAAATAAAAATTCGCGTATGCAGGGACATGCACCAAAGAAATGCCTTTCATAAACCCAGCAACACTGCAAGGGGTTAGAGGTGTATTTGAAACAAAATTCCTCCAGGAAAAGGATGGGGATGGGTGGGGGATGTACTTTAGGTTTGACATGCCGGATTTCAGTGCTGGAAGAATGTGCGAAGTGAAGGTGGAGAAGAAACGGTGTATAATTTTTGGACCGATGGGCTCGAAAGAGTATCACCTTGATGAAGGAGGGCGGTCTTACTATTGTAAACTGTCCTTAAGCTGTGATTGTTGCTGCTTCGTCTCAGAGACTGTAACACATGAGCTGAGAGATGGTGTTATGAGGATGTGGTTCAGAATTTTACCGAAACACAAAAAGAATTCTTCAAAAAAGTGAGTAGTTTAGAAATCTGAGTTATATGATCGGAGGCCTTTGGAGATTTTGAATGTTAGTTACTTCACTGTGCTTAAATCACTGATCATACCTTGCTAACAACATTCTATTTATTTTTACAATCAGCAGGATCAGCACTTCTTCCTCATCACGGCATGTGAGAAGGAACTCTCGCCAGGCCTAATCTGGGACCTTGATGCAGCTAGCTTTGAACTGTTGAGCATTGATCAGAATGATAAACACGGCAATCTTCTGTTACTAGGTTCATTTCATTTTTTAACGTTTATTAGAGGAATGTAAGTGCAAGGTCTATTATACGCTTGGGTGATTTTTATGGCAGTGTGAATGTGAAGCAAATCAACCAAAAACACTGGGTGCCAGAGATTCTGTACAATAGGTTGCTCTTATCATTTAAAGATGCCGAAATCAACTCCCACAAAATCTAAGATTCATAATGAAGCAGGAATAATTTGGGCAATGGGTAAATTATTCAGTCTACATGAAACAGGTCCAAACTCAAAAACCTAGGCAGATAAATAAAAAAAATGGGTTTTTATTTAACTCTCCTTATCACACTGTAACAACTGAAAAAACTCTGTTTACAATAATGACCATCTAGTAAATGAAACTTTACATAAAGTCAGGGTCATATAACGCTTTTAAGTACATATATCTACTTATAGGAGAAGCAAATCAACCATATTACCACTGTCAGACTAAACATGCATGAACTTCCGGCTACCACTATATCTATAATCCGCATCTTACGCTTCCATGAACTGGGAAGTCGGGGGGCTTGTTTTTGTCTTTCCATGACCTGCGATTAGAGTTAGTAACTGTGAGTGAGTAAACATGTACAGAAATGAGGATTAGAGTATTAAATGATCGGCATCAACACTTTGTCAAAGCTCAATAGTTTAGGTTCAAAACGAAGCAAACGAAGCAAATATGATACTCTAATGTCTCGATTGTTTCCTAACAGTACATCCTGGAACAACCAGCACTGGCAATCAATTGAAAAAACAAAAACAATCCTAAAAACCATATCAGGAAATTAAATCTACTTGATAAATAAAATTTATAAGTCAACCTACCATATCCACGCCTCTCAACTTCACGCCATTCCTGAACAAGGGCACAGCAGCAACACATGCAATGTGAGAGGAAGTCATCAAAGGCACCTCCCTGCAAGTCAAAGTGCATATTAAGATTCAGCAGCTGCTTTCTCAATACATAAAATAGGACACTAAACAATAGATAGTGCTTGGCAAAGAGCAGTTAATCCTCCATCAACTACTACTGTGAATCATGGGAAGCTTATCATTTTCAGATATAATAATAACTATTAAGCAAAAACATACATTAATGTTCAGTGTTTTGCGCAGCTTTCCCCTGACACAACAAGTGTAGCAACAGCAGGAGAGTATCAAAGAATAAGCCACCAGGTCATTGCAGGCTTCACCTGAAGCTGTTCATAAGAGTGAATACTTAGTAAGCTTTGCAATATTATGAGCAATTAAACTTCCATAGTATAGCAACAAAAGACAGCAAGACCAATATTCTAAAAGTAAGACGACAACTTTGCAACACCTCCATCAGAGAATGAGTCATATTTGCAATGATACTTAGTTACTTACACATATATTTATCATTTGCCACGGTGGAGATTTTTGCAAATGTGCCACAGGGATAGAAGAGAGTCTTTAGACCTGCAGAAGAAAAGGTTGTCAGCTGAACTAGTAAAGGGATAATGCAACTATAACAGACTTAAAGTTCAAAACGCCAATGGCAGTCCTAGCTCATGATCACCCATACTAAAAGAAACAGGGATATACGTGATACATACAGAGACAAGGTTCTGCACAACAGTCCAGTAAATCATTATGCCACTCTTCATAGTGAAATGAACCTCGGTTTGACAGAAGATCACGCCGTGAAGAAAGTGTAGAGCCAGATCTGCAGAGGGGAGAAAACATTAGGCACTTCAAAATTCATATCCTGAAATGTAACCAGATTTTGTAACATTTAATAACTCAATTCCACTCCCTAGCCTCAATTAACAACAGGGGATACCTAAGCATAACATGACAAATTATAGGTGTAGATATGTCTCAAGGATGTGGTCATAAAGTGAGACAAAGATCATAATCAGAAAAAATGCAATAGTCGATGTCAATTTTCTTTAGCTTATATTAGCAACAAGTAAATTATAATGAATAATTGATTACAAGTCATATCATAAAATTTGCCTGATATATATATCTCGTATGGCTGTTATATACCTGGAAGTTCCATTTTTCTTGGGGGAGTTATCGTCAAATGAGTAGTTTTCATCAGCATAAGAAGGCTGGGATTTCTTTGAGCTTTTCCCTGATGCATTCTTTTCTGTTTCACAGACCACAGTTGCAGTTTGAGTGACATCAAGCAGGCGCTGGATGACTTCACACTGAGTCATATCTAAATTAGCTTGTGAGCGTTGGAGTTCCATTCGAAGCTTTTCATTCTCTTTTCTAAGTGCTTCATCAAAAGAGCACTTTGGGTACGAACAAGAAAGAGTCTTCTTTAGCACCACAGTATCAGTTTCACAGGGTTCAGGTTTCAGAATTACTTGCTGCACCTTTTGATCCTCTTCATCTAAAGTATACTCATGCTGATCCATTTCAATATATTCTAGTTTTTCCTGTCATATATTCAGTCAATAAATTAGCTTGGCATTAACATTTTTAGTAGCAGCACCAAACATGTCCAGTAGTCTAATCTATATCTGAATTAAAATAATTTTTAAATCAACCAACATAATAAGTGAATGATATCATGGTAATGCATCAAGAGTCCAGATTTATATCTAAACTCTCATACCCATGAGAGGCTGGTACTTTAAATCTCAAACATCATCTCTTTCTGTATGTTGCACATACAAGATAGCAAACACATGAACAATGATAGATTGACAGGAATTCAGGAAAGGAATAGATAAGGCAATAATCTATTCAGAGATGTTAAAGAAGTCAGTAGATTCAGATTTATGTGAGCTTAAGAAGATACCATGAATATATGATTTTATGCTCGGTCCTATCCAGGGTTAAGCAAGACCTCTGGGACCGAGCCATTCTTGCCAAGGCAAAGGCAACCTTCTCAAAGCCCACACAACGTTCCAAGGGGATAAAAGCCATATTGATACTTGCCGTATAAGACCACTATCAGGACTAAAATTTCAAACTAAGCAATAGATTAAGTTTTCAGTAGCACCTGCAGGAATAGACATTCAACTTCATACCAAAGCTTTTCATCCCAGTGACAAGTCAACAACACAAGATAGGGACAATTAGGAAGAGATAATACATCCCCCTTCAAAAAAAAAGGAAGACATAATACATCATATTATGAAGTAAGCAACCCCTAAATGCTCTAAAATGACACTCCAACCACATAAGAAATCCATATTATTCCCCTAAAAGAACAAGCTATCAAATCAAAACTGCTTTATGCCAAAATTGACATAATATAATCAATATATCAGCATCATTACAATTATTTAACTTCAATCTAACCCAAAAATCTAATATACAGTACCAAATTTTTTGCTGCTAACATGCCAACATCATACCAAATGATCAACAAAACTTCATAACCAAAAAAATTGAATATAACATAAGCATAAGTGAGAATTATTACCCTAACTCTGGCATTATCGACGAGAGTAATGAGGGGAACGAGCTTTAAGTAACGATCAATCTCATTCTGAGCCTTCCTAAACTGATAGACAATATTCCAACCCATAGCAAGCAAGTACAGATAACTTTTATCTTGACAACTATGGACCAAAATGTAAGACCTCCTAAGTGCATCCTCAAGCTGCTCAAGAGGCTCCCGGGTTTCAGGGTACCTCTTGAGCTCAGAGATCTTAAGCTGCTCCAACAAATTACCAATCAACTTCAAATGATTAGCAAATTGCCGGCAGTTCTTTCGGTGCATTCGGGCGGTATTTGCCGCCTTCACTATTAACCCGATTAACTTCACTGCATCAAGCCCAGTTAACTGAGCTATTGTTGCTACATCTCCTAATCCTGTGTTATCCATCTCCAAATCTTAACTTAATTCTCTCTCCTCCAATTATCAAGAACACAAAACCCCAACTGAATTACAACAATCTCAATCAAAATCAAAAACCCCTTTTCTTAAACATTATCAAATCTTCTTAAAAAAGAAAGCCCAACTAAATTATGGGGTTTCCCAAATTAATCTTAAGATTTAACATGCAGCAATTGAGGATAGATCTTAAGCTGAAAATTCCCACATTCTCTCACTTGAACTGAGTTCATCAGTAAAATTAATTACCTGAAATAGAAAATTAGGGAAAATTAGTAAAAAAAAAAAAAAAAAAAAAAAAAAAAAGTAAGTCAAAGAAGAAAAGCAAAAGACTCCATTGTCTACTTGAATGTATATCTTCAACCAGAAGTCAGAACTCAGAAGAGATTATTAAAAAAAAAGAGAATATTTACATGCATAAATTAGTTAAAGAGAAATGAGAAAGAAAATAAAAGTAAAAATAAAAAATCCGCCATTAATACATCTTACATTATCAAAAAAAACAGAAGCTATGAATTCCAACAAACTGATTCACAGGAATTTAATTTGCACCGAAAAAAACTGTCACATATAAATAAAAATAAAACCCCAGAAAAAATAAATTTTCAGGAGTGTGGTTCTGCTGCTGCACCGCTGTCAAAAAACATTCGGATTAATTAAAGTAAAATACTTTATTTAATTTCTTAATTGTCTACTTATATTTGTTTCATAAAATAAGTATTTGTACTAATAACAGTATTATAGAACTAAACAAAATAATTTTCTAGGGAAAAAGAGAGAAAAGACATTGAAGTCCGTGAATGGAAAGACGTGAAAAAGTAAGAACATAGAATTTAGAGAAATCTGGGGATTTCAGAGAGAGAAGAAGAAGTTACTGGTTGTAATGAAGGGTGTGTATGAAATTCACATTTGGTTGACTGATTCTTCTTCTTTTTTTTTGCTGTTTATTTTCTGCAGAATTTGCAGTGTGTTTTGATTTGGAGGTATACTGTTGATTATGGTGTTATGCTGTGAATACTCACACCATGCCCAGACAAGTAAGTAAGGATTTTAGTGGAGTTTACAGGGTTGTCAAGGTCCTTTGTGAGGGTGTTTTACTATTATGTCCTTCACTCTTCGTTTTTATTACAACATTGACCCTCGTATTGTACTCGTATTTGTTTAAAATAAGAAAGGTACTCTAATTCTGTCATGGGATTACTCGAGTCAAATTCGAACTATACATAAAACTAGATAAATGATTCATATAGATCGAATATAGATTGATTGTTCATGGTAATGTAATGATGAATTAACATGAGTATTTGGGTATTTGAAAATGAATTAGCTTGATTTGAATAATTAATTCAATCAATGTATTTGTTGTATGGCTCACTTTATATGTACGACCTCACAATTGGTTTTGTATGCATAACAAATAAGCGGGTAGTGTGCAATAGTGTGTTTTACTTGAGTGCACTTAACTCCCTTTGTTTTCCGTCAAAAAAAAAACTCTCTTTGTTCTATAGAGATTTTCTATCTTCTTAATTCAAATTTCTTTCATTAAATTCTTAATCTTTTATGTTTTTTTATATCTTCTTAATTAAAATTTCTTTCATTAAATTCATCCAAATACCCCTAAAAAAATACAACTTAAAAGGTCTTTTTTTCACTTAGGGGCTCTTCTGAATTACTAAAATGAGTTGAAATGAACTGAACTGATTGGAGGTGAATTAAACTGAACTGATTAAATATTTTATGAGAAAAGAAAATTAAGAATTGAACTGATTGGAGCTAAAATGAACTAAACTGAAAATAAGCCGAAGAGAATAGGCCCTTAAAAGGCTCTTTTACAACAAGGCAACCACTTAAAAAATCGTTTTTCACAAATTACATTGTGATTACTTAGTAGTAGTACATGACAACATTGATTAAGCCCAGTCAACTAAAAAAAAACCGATTATGATTGTTGACGAGAAAAAGAGACTTTATTTTACTATCAAATAATTGCTTAACATGCATGAAACTCCGGCAAAAAAGGAATTAAGAAGTTATAATGAGGTGTTCTAATTAAAGGTTCACCATCAATTTTCAACGCTGTCATTGATATTTATTGGGCCATAGTCCATAATAGACTAACTTTTATGAAGAAAATTGGTTGAGTTCGTTGTAATGTAAGATAAAAGTAGTAACAATTTTTACAGTGTTCCAATTCAATTATATATTTGTAGTGGATTGAGTTTGATTGCTACACCATTCAGAATTATGAAATGGAATAATTCGTGGCATATGAACGTCTAGTTTGGATAAACAGTTGATTGGTGGGGTGACCTTAATCTTATTTTTTCAGTGGTACGTTTGAGTTTGAGACAATGTGAACGTGCAGTGGTAGTATCACGACAATCGCCTAAGAATATTATTGTACGTAATTGATTTGTATACGTAGTATATAATATCGAGTTATAGTTTGTTTTTCAGAACTAGGACGAGTTGTTATGTACATCACAGCTGGTTCAAATAAGTATATATTGCATTAGTGGGGCGACTTATCCAGTACAAGTAGTCAATGAGCTTGATCATCAAGCTAATTAAGAGTATAGATACTCATAATAAATGAGATCTTAATTTTCAAGTAGATAATAATACACATAATCATCAAGCTAATAAAGATTATTATGGTTAATTAAGATTATAATGGTTTGTCAGATGAATAGCAGGAAACCTTGCTGGTATTAGTGGCATACTTACAACCAGACAATCACTAATCCACTAAAAACCGCTTTAGGATCAGTTTTAAGATGTACATCTCTAGAATTATTCAATTAAAAATACTTAATTATTTATTAGAGGGTAATTAAAATAAACAACTAGTCAACCAAGTAGTATATACACAAGAATGGACCACAACATAGGAACAAAAATAAAAGTAAGAAGCTAGCTAAAAGTTATCTATCTATAATTGTCTTTATTGCGCGCGACCATTATCCTACAACTATATAGTAGATCACTATCATATAAATGGACTGACCCCCAAAAATATACTTATATTATATGATACCCTAATTAAGCTAGCATGCATTTAATACAATCACGGGTGTCGCCTCAATTATTTATTCAACAATGAAAAGGATGCTTCAGATTATGGTAAATTCTTATATTATAATCGTAAAATCATAATAATAATCATATGATTGATATCATGTAATATACACTCAACTTGATTATTTATTCTTATACACGTACTGTCTTAGCATTGAGGGATTCATGTGCTAGTATGAAATTATGCGTTGTTAGCCGAAACATGATATGAAATTAAAGGTGAATCTTTGAAGGAACTTTATATTACGTACAAATAGTTGTATGTTAGTATGTATGTTTACCAACTTTAGCACTATTAATTAGTGGGTCACTTCAGAAGTTGGAATCTATGTGTATATCCTACCTTTTGGTTGTTGCATTTTTATTATCACGCCCAATTACCCAACTAACTACACCTGTAACTAAGAAAAAGACTATATTCTTAGCTATTTTAGGGGAGAAAAATTGGGAGGTCTCAATTCGAGTCATTGGATGTGCTTGGATTGGATCTTGTTGGATTCAGTCATTTTAAATTTAATTGTGTTCCTATTGTATGCACTTTTCATTCAATGAGTTAAGTTGTTTTGGATTTATAATGGCCGAAAAAATCTAGTGCAATTGGTGATCAAGTGCATGACTTGTGCGACAAAGTTGCACATGGTGATATATGTCAAGAGTCGAGTTGAGCTACACTACTACAAAATTGGCAAAAGAGACCATATCAAAATAACCAAAGAGACTATTTTAGGTATGGTCTCTAGCTCACATATCTCTTTCGCTTAAGAGACCATTTCATTAAAAGTGGTCTATTGTATGAAAAACTAAAAAACCGAGACCACCTATTCGAAATAGATGGTCTCAGCTTTTTAAGTACTAAAACCACCTAGGTCTCTCTTTCAAAAATTATTTGTATTTTAATTTATATAATTTCAATTAACAAAAAACATTTCATTAATGATACTAAAAATAATACACGGAGTTTATACTTGTAAAAAAAAAATACAAAACCACTCCCAATGAACTTTGGGAATCAATGGAAGTACCTGGATGCATAATCTTGCCAGGTGAAAAAATGATGTACATAGGCCAAATTTGAAGGTTATAATACACTAAATTTGAGCAATTCAATTAGAAGGTGTCAGGACTTGGTGTCAGACATTCACGAAATTGTAAGGGATGCATCCCGGGATCATATGATGTTGTTTGGACCCATATATGACCATAAGTCGACTACATAAAGGCCCCGTGGAAGCATATAGCCAATAATTAGGTGTTTTCGGAAACAGGTAAATTGGATGCTTAAAGGCAAATTAGAAGGTTTCACCCACCCAATTGGACTCCCAGAGGGTATTAGGGTTTATAGGTAGCTTCTCGACAATTTTTGTTTATGGATAAAAAAAAAAGTCGAAAATTGGCAAAATTAAAGGCTATAATACACGTTTTTTGGCCAATTTCGGAGGTTTTAGGACCCGGTGTCGAAAAGTCTTGAGATACCAGGAGATACATCACAGGGTCATATAACGTTGTTTGGAACCATATATGATCATTTTATATTGTCATAAATGTCTTTGGTCTCGAGTTAATGAAATCAGTGCAAGTTGTAAATGGGTAAATGGACTCCGGGGGTGTAATAAGGTCCATGGGATGCATCTCGGTAATTTTTGTTTTCGAGTCTAAAATAGTGAAAAATTGTCCTAAATTGAAGGTTATAATACACGATTTCGGACCAGTTTTTGACATTTTTTCAAAAATGAACTGAAAGTATGGGGTGACTCCTGGGGTCATATAAGGTGGTTTGAAACCATAATACACCAATAAAGATGTCTATAAAGTACCAAGAATTAGTTATGTTTCTATTTTGAAATTCATGAAACGAAATGTTGAAATATAATGATGTCATATAAGTATAATGAAGTGATGTGGCTTGATTTCTTCAAAAAAAAAAGTGATGTGGCTTGATTATAATGATATCATAAAAGTATATTGAAGTCTTGTGACTTGATAGTAATAATGTCATATGAATCGAATGATGGAATATAAGTACAATATTAGTGTGATGTGAATCTAATGATGTCATATTATGTAATTATATTTATAATGATGTGATGTTATAACAGTACAATAATCTCATTTAAGGAAAACGGTGTCATATCAGTAACTATATACTTAAAGACACACCGGTAATGACACATGTCATCTCCGGGTAGAGCTGTCAATTCGGGTAAATAGGTCGGATTTGGGTCGGGTAAGAGTGGGTCGGTTCAACTCAGGCCGGATCAATTCGGATTAATTCCATAACCTATGCAGGTCGGGGTTCGGTTGGGTCATACTTGAGTCGGGTCACGTCGGGTCATACTTCTTATCAGATTTGGGTCGGGTTTAGGTCGTGTTAATAACAAGTCGGGTTACATTCGGTCCGGGTGAACAATAGGTCGGGTTTAATTCGGGTTTTCACGGGTAAAACGGGTTAGGGTAATTCTCAGGTTCGAGTTGGGTTTGGTTACGTTCAAGTCAATAATTTGTAGGTTAGAATCAGGTCGGGTCATTCTAGGGTTGAGTCGGGTTCGGTTCAAGTAAATAATTTGCGGGTTATAATCAGGTCGGGTCATTTTCAAGTAGGGTCATTCTCGAGTTCAAGTCGGGATCGGTTCAAGTCAATAATTTACGGGTTATAATCAGGTTGGGTCATTTTCAAGTCGGGTCATTCTCGGATTCAAGTCGGGTTATGTTCAAGACAATAATTTGCAGGTTACAATCAGGCCGGGTCATTTTCAAGTCAGGTCATATTCGGGT